GTAATTCGTTTTCATCTGTTTCAGTACCTTGACTGTGTGACCATGCTGTGGGTTTTTTGTCTTCTTGTCTTTTGGAGTCATCGCATGGGTTTTCTACTGTTATGAAGCCTCATCGCAGAATGGGGCTGGGTAGCAGGGATTTTTGGATAAGCTAATTTTTGGAGTGTGTTTAGCAATTCACTGCAGCACTTTAACAGGACGTTCCCGCTGATGGGATTTGAGGACATGTCTCTCAGTGATAGCTGCAAAAAGTAACATGGAAAATACATTACTCCAGTGCACTTAAGGACATGAAAAAAGAGATTCAGGATATGACAGGGAACAACTCATTTCTTGCTCTGTGCATGACCAGATGTAAGAGAGACACCTTTTCTGTATCTGCAGCACAGAGTAAGCACACCTGAGCTCTGTCCTCACAGGTACTGAGGCTTGCTAGAAATATTCTCCAGTCTGCCACAGGTTTTGACTGCTGAAAGGTGACGCCTCCGCTTCTGAAGTCCTGCTGAGGTTGTGTTATTCTTTTCATTTCTCCTGTTGCTTGGTGCTGTGCACTCAGATCTATTTTGTCAGGTGTGTGACCAAGGTTTCCTTCTAGTCCTGGGTGCAGTGGCTTAGACCAATCCCATGGAAACCACTTTCCTTTTTTAAATAGCTCTTGCAGACACTTTATCAATATTTCAGTCTCTACTTTTTTTTCCCTGAGACTTTCTGAAGGCCAGGGCCATGAATTATGTGGAATTATTTATGGATCTAATGTCAGTAACAGCCTGTTAATATCTGTGCCACTTTTCTGAAGGCTGCTTTAAAGTGATCTGGGGGGCTGGGGCAATTGCTGGCCACCTGACAGCCACCCCTGCTCCCTTCCCAGGGCCTCCCATTTGCTCGACACGGGAGGGAGATTAGAAGCATCCAGCAATGCTGGACTCAGGAAGTTATCAATAAACTGCTGATGGCACTTCTCAGCCACTGGTAAATGGTTCTGAGCAGCTGATGGCTGAGGTTCACATTTACTGATGCTATCAGCCAGTGGCAAAGGCCACCACAGTAAGAGCCATTTGTTTCCTAGTGCTGGACAGGCATTAGACCCAGCTGGGTGGTAGACAGACAGCAGGATCCAAATTCTTAGGGTCTGTCAGCTAGGAAATCATCAATATTTCCATGAATTTTCACTGACTTGCACATCAGTGGAATCAACCTGCAGCCTTTTCATTTATTTATGAAGATAGTAATGATTTATGCAGTACTGTGAGGCTTTGAAAATCTGCTGGCAGAACGAAGCAAGGGGGGGAAGAAAATTCTTAATTTCAAGTTGCGAGTGACATTTATTATTCATACGGGCTGGTGGGTCAACATTTTGTTTTCTGGTCAGTAAAACCTGAATCAATTAGGACTGCCTCTTGTGGTGTGGAGCTTAAAGCATGTACTGTCTATGGTGTCATGTTTGAAGGGTTAGGTTTAGCCCGTTTATTAGTTGTCTGGTGCCTCTGTGTCTGAAAATCTGAATGTGCTGCAATCTCCCCACTCTGCCTGGCTGATGGTGGCTTTATTAATGTCTCCTGAATCTATAGCCCAAGGTCAGAGGATCCAGTAAATTCAGAATTGATTCGTTTGAGGTGATAGCAGTCATCCCAGAGCAAGCGAGAGGAACTTCTTTCCCATGCCCCATTGCCCTCTAATGGCCAGTGTTGAATTTGCACAGCCAAGTGGGCAGTTCAGAGAGCCAGAGGGGGATTGCTGAGCAAACTGGTCTGTTGTGGAGGTCCTGAGTGTGTCTGATTTTCGAGAACCCCCCAAAAGTGTTCGCAGTGAAGATTGGTTTGGGAGTGAGGAAAAAAGGTTGTTCTCTTTCTTGGTGGCACCAACCCTCAGAGACGGATGGAGGGAAGGAAAAGAGGATGGTAAATTCAAAAGAAACAGAAAAAAGACGTTTTTGTTTTCCCATGGAGTAAGGGGAGGTGGAGGAGTGGAGTACTTTCTTGTATTAAAAATTCCCTTCCCCAAACCCAGTGGTAACCTGCTTTGCTCTCGGGGTGGGAGCAAGACAGGGGTGTCCAGCACATGGCTCTTGTGTAGCAAATGCCAATTCCATTGACATTGGGTCCCTGGTGGCGACAGCAACAAAAGCCCCCCTATACCTCGCTGTCTGATGCTGGTGGGTGGGCTTCCAGCTTGGCTGCACCGTGTGGGTAGCAAATCGTGCTGGGCAGGAAAAAGGGACCAGCTGGACTCGGATCAAACTATTGCAATTCAGTGAAAAATGCGGGACTCCAGAGAGAGAAGCATCTGATGTGCAGCTAGACCTCTGGGGCTCCGTACCGCAGGCTCTTGACAGTTGGAGTGCGGGTGTCCACTTTCCTTGGGTTCACTTTCCTCTTGCAATAGAGGCTTTTTAACAGTAGATGTCACGTTTGCCCAACGCAACAGCAGATTGTACCAACAGGCGAGCCCTTTGGTGCAACAGTGGAACACGCTCCATCGCAGGAGATGCTGTCACCTGTTTGTGCTCACAAAGTGGAAAAGGTTGGAAACGGTGAAGAAATAGATTTTAAGGTGGCAGAAAATTTGGAATATCTTGTCAACCCTTACCCTTATTTCATCCAGCCTTACTGGCTAACTTGGCAGGGTTTTGGCAATACCTATGAATGACTTTTTTGGTCCAAATTGGAGTTTTAGGGATTTGATGATGTTATAGGTGATATTATTTTAGGCTATTGTCATGCGTTTCATGTGCAGACAATGATCTTTAAAAACAACTTCCTCCAGTCTAGAGACAATACTTTTAATACAGAAATCTTCGTAAATACATTAATTATGTAAATACATTAATTATACTTCGTAAAAAATAAGCTCTGAATCTTTATACCGTAGTCAGATACACACAGAATAAAATCCATTTCTGACTCAGATAAGGAAGCAGTTATTTGAAGTGGAAGAAAGCGAGGCTCTTCCAATAAAACCTCACCTGAAACAAATAAACCACCTCACTCCTCAAACTGAAGACTGCAATTTCATCCCGTCTGTGTTTTGCAGGGGATATAGTACTTGACTGGCAACTTCAAAGCAAGTCCAGCACAAAAGAAGAAATTTTTACGTTTGTTGCTGTATCAGAGCGGGCAGCTGCAGTCACTAAAGAGCAAGGCTCTGCATTTGAAAAGTAACTGTACAGTCGTGTGTTCAGTATCTGAACAAGGTAACGTGGAGCAGGATTTCAGCAGGTGTGAGCTGGTTCATGAGCTTGACTAGAAGGTCTCAGGCTCTCTGAGGATCGGGCTTTCTTAAAAGCCCAAAGAGGCCCCGGTCAGAACGGAGAACAGGAGAGAGTCAGCACTCAAAGCGCTCGCCGAGACCCCAGGGCTTGGCATGGGGGTTTGGCAGCCCTGGGGTCTTCTCTAGCCCAAGGGCTGGAAACTGCCTTCCTGAACCACAGCGTAATCGATTTGGACCCGCGTCCTGATTTTGATCCTGATCCAAACTCAAATCGAGTTCAAACTGGAACTTCTATAAAATCTTTAGTACTTGACGTCCGCAGCATTTTTATTTTCTTTCTTTTTTTTCTTTTTTTTTTCCCCCCCCCGGTGAAATTTTTGTTCCTTCAGAAACACTTCTATGCGTTTTAACTTGAAAATATTGATGCCAACCACATGAATATCATCAGTGCCAATGGTAACAATAGCAGCGGTGCCAGCACCCTCACAGTATTATTAACAGCAACACCAACAGCGCCGAGTAGATCTATGCCAATAGTGTCAACAGCGCTGATGCCAGCGGGCCAGGACGAATGAAGAGCCCCTCAGTAACAAATCAGCGTGTGAAGCCTCGTGCTGTCCCACAATAACAACCCCCCGAGCCCAGCCTAGGTCTCGTTAGCAACTTTAATTGCAAGGGCAATTAAATGAAAACACCCACACCCAGGTGTGTATATCCTGGAAGGGAGAAATACTCGGATATTTCTGGAGTGGAGGGGCAAGTGAAACAAACGATTAAGGATTTTGTCGACTGTGCTTTCCTCGGTTTTTCCGCGCGGGTGCACAATAACAACCCCCCGAGCCCAGCCTAGGTCTCGTTAGCAACTTTAATTGCAAGGGCAATTAAATGAAAACACCCACACCCAGGTGTGTATATCCTGGAAGGGAGAAATACTCGGATATTTCTGGAGTGGAGGGGCAAGTGAAACAAACGATTAAGGATTTTGTCGACTGTGCTTTCCTCGGTTTTTCCGCGCGGGTGCGGTGGTGGCAGCTGCAGCTCTTTTTAAACTGGCACAGCCCGAGCTCTGCGAGCGCTCGCAAGCGGTTTGACTCCTGCGCGCTTTGCTGTTGAGTGTGTCTCCAGTTCTACCTACTCAACAGAGGAATTTTGTTTAACAGGTAATCTTAAGGATTAAGGAGAGAATCCGATCCAAAAAGATCTTTCCGCAATCAATGCATTTCCAGAGTGTAGTCATATTATTCCAAGGCTAGTTCAGGTCTTGAGGACACCGACTTTCCTCCGAAGGGGAGGCACGATTTTTCTTTTTCCAAAACTTGCAACTTGCACATGAAGTAGAAGGTCTGGTCCATTGCTGAGGAGGTGGCTGGCAAAGATCCAGAAACGTGGTAAAAACTTTACAATTTGCGAACATTTAGTAGCTGTGCTTTCTCTGACCTTCTCAGTCTGCACCCAGAAAACAGGTTAGACGCAGAGCATCCCACTGCAGCCACGTCTTGCCATGGTGGCCTAGGAGTTAGGATGTATTAAGCAGCTTTCATAACTTACTCATGGTGTACACCTCAGTGCAAGTAGCGATTCTGCTTTGTTTCCTTTTGGAGCAGTAGATTGCTGTCATCGCCACCACAAAGTTCCTTTTTCTTTCAAAGCAGCTCTCAGTCACTGTTTGTGGGGTTTTTTTAAGAGAACAGGAAGACTATCACGGTTGCCTTTGCCAAATGTGGGGGGATCAAGGGACAAACAAATTGCCCCTGCAAATTTCAGGTATCTCAATCAGCCCTGCTTCAGAAGCTTCATACTCTGGGATTAATCGGAGGTTTTAAAGCCTACATGAAAAAGAAAGAGTTAAACAAATCACAGTGTGCCTGCTGCATTTTAAACAAATTAGATTCTGGAAGAACTGCCATTCACATTTGAATTCAGGTTACCTGTGGTGGTGGTGGAGGTTTGCCTTTGGCAACTGGGAGATGAGGAGGTTTTCTCTCTGGTGCCTATAACAAAAATGTGGTTACATGTCATGAGGGTTTCCTATGTGAGCAGCTTCAGAACCTATGCAGACCTCAGGGATTTTTTTAATGTATTTCTTTTAAACCATAGCCAGAAACTGAAAATACTGATTGGCGTTGGGTAGTCATTTGTAACCCAGACTGAAGACGTGAAAAGTTGCAGGGTTTTACTTACAAAAATCTCTTCTGTGTGAGAAGAGGCTGGTTTGGTAGAAGGAACTGGAGGTGGGGGACCTTTTGGCCTTGTGGCAGGATGTAAGAGAAGAGAATATAAACCACGCTGACCCTACGCACACACTGTGTGTGCACCCGCCTGCGTGTTCCCGTGGGTGTAAAAGGATGCACTGATTTCAGAAGCTGCGATGCTTTATGCTCCCTGGCCCTGAGAAAACCTGCAGGGGCTTGTCTGGAGTGCAGTGATTTCCCCAGCCATGGGCATCGGGTTGTTACTGCAGGTCTGCCCCGTGGTGTGAACTGTATGTGCTGTCCTCCCTGAAGCCAGCAGGAAATTCCCTAGAAGTACTTACGCTCTGGAGCCGCGGTTTGTTCTCCTGTGGTGGGGGTACAGGAAGGAGAAGTTTCTTGTCGTTCATCTGAAAATAGGAAACAGTTAAATTGGACGGAGCCCGTATCTCGTGCGTTCCCTTTGCCCGCCCCTTTGCTGCAGACAGATTACTCAGGGACTTCGAGCCGCCTGCTTTCCCCACTCCCTCCCCGTGCTGGGATTCACAGCACTGTGCTCTCAGCCCCAGCCAGATGTTTGGAAACCCTCGTGGAAGTGTAGTGCCCGTTGGCTAATGACGTTTGACGGTTTGAGCCCTCAGTTACAGTCCCAGGCAGACTAGAGCTGGCCCAGCACCTCCCCGCTCTTACCTTCTGGGCAGGTCCCACCAGGACAGGGTGTTCTCTGTGTCTTTGTTCTTGATCCACAAAGACTTGGTTTGTGGCTCCAGGTCCCTTTCTGATCTGGCAGCTGTGCAAATATTAAATATAACTGTAAATCTTACCGTGACTGACATCGCTTGGCTCTAGGGGTTTTTTTCTCTGGAGGGGTAAGCTTTTTACCTCTTCTTGAATACTCGGAAGCGGATAAGTAACACGGCTGCAGTTGCTGTGACAGCGAGGACGAGCAGCACGCCGGCAACAATAGCAAAGCCTGTGAGAGAGAGAGAACACAAGCTGCAATTTCTTAAAAGATCCACTATTACTAAGCAGTTTTCAATCACAACCATGGGCAAAGTAGTTCTTTTCATAAAGTCTAGACCCTATTAGTCCTTGGTGTTGCTCAAGC